CGAGCGCTTGGCCCCCCTCTTTCCGGACGGCGGGCTTTTCCGGAGGGACCTTCCGGCGGGACCGTCTCTGCGCCCCGCCCTCGCCTGCGCCTGGTTCAAGTCTCCCGCTTAGTATTAGGGGGTGGGGGGAAAAAAACAACAAAAAATCAGTGCCTTAAAGAGATTTCTCTCATTGGATCATTTCCCGCAATTCTGCATTGAGATGCTCCCAGCCGCCCTGGCCAGTGCGGCTCGGTGGATAGAGCGTCGGCCTGCGGATGGAAGGGTCCCGGGTTCGAGTCCGATCAAGGGCATGTACCTTGGTTGCGGGCACATCCCCAGGAGGGGATGTGCGGGAGGCAGCTGATCGATGTTTCTCTCTCATCGATGTTTCTAACTCTCTATCCCTCTCCCTTCCTCTCTGTAAAAAAATCAATAAAATGTCTTTTTTTTAAAAGGTAAACCCCTTTTTAAAAATGCTCCCAATCTATTTCCTCTTCTGAATGTTTAATTTGATCTTCACTGTAGTGATTCTTTCTTAATTGAACCATGTGCTCTGCCTCCAGCACGTCCACCTTCCGGTTTTCCCGTCGCGGAAAGCTAAACCCTCTGGTTTAGTTTAAATCCGGTCTCCTCCCATCCGATGGGCGGCACGGGGTCGCGCCCTCTTGCACAGACCCTCACACCTTCATCTGGGCTCCATCCCCTCCAGCCCTATCCCTGTCCGGGTCCCCTGGCAGTCCCATGCCTGGTGCATGCCCAGGCACTGTGGACACCCCTTTCCTACAGGCCACCTGCAGGGCACGCACATCCTCAGGAAAATGATTCCTAAACACGGACGCCGTTATGCCCAGCGCCAGAGGCCCACGGCTGGTCAGGAGCGGGGCCAGGGCTTGGAGCCTGGTCTGTCTGACTCCAACCCCCACGCTTGGGATTAGAGGATGGGCTGCCTCCTCCACGGAACTGGCCTTCACCTCCTGCCGCCCCCTGGGCTTGGACTGTACCCCTCCTGGTGCGGAATCCTCGGGGACTGAGCTGGGTGTGAAGGATGGGAGTCCGCAGGGAAGGCTGCGTTAAGGCAGCCCACGGAAGTCACTGACGGGGGATTCTCGCCTGGCTTTCTCCAGGCGGCCAGGGAACGGCACCCAGCACAAGTCAGAATCTCCAGCCCTAACTGTCCGGGAAGAGGAGAAGGGCACCAGAGGAGGACCGATGGGCACCTGGTAAGCAGAGTGCTCTCCTGAGGTCAAGTGGGCCTAGACGCGCTTGTGTATTATCAGCTGCCTGGGATATGGAGGCAACAGTTGTGAAGCTATAGATTCACGTTGTGGGGACTAGGGAGTGGGGAGCAAGGGGTGCAAGGATAGTCTTTCTGCTACGAAACACCTGTATGACGTGAACGTTCTTTATTTCTGTTTTCCTTTCCTCCACTTCCCTGTGGCGTGTCCCCTGGCGAGTCAGAGGCACCCACAGTGCCTTGGGTAAAGGGGAATGCCTATGGCAGCCATGAAAATAGCAAGAAAAACTTTTTAGATGTGCAGACTCAATTTTTGAGAGTCAAATGGAAATTCGGAAGAAAGCAGACAACTGAATTTGTGCCATGACAACAGAGAGTACAGGGAGGGGATGACTCCATCCTTTCTCCTTGTCAAGGCGGAGGTGGGGAGGGGGGGCAGAATGGGGCGTGACCCTTCTGGGGAGACGATTTTCCATGGCTCTTGCAGGAACCACAGAGGAAACGATGCAGCTCTTCTGTGAAAGCTGTGACAGTTCTCCTGCTGGGCTAGCTTTCCAAGGGTATTTGTTGCAAACACCCTTGAAAGAGAGAGATATTGACTCCCTCGGGGGCAGAAGGCAAGTTTGTTTTCCAACCTGTATAACAAAAATAAGGTTTCTCTCCGGGGCAAAGGTTGAGCTGTTTTGCTGGTGGCCTCCTTATAAGAGTGGGGTTTCCTGAGTGTGGAGTTCCTCCGCTGTGCACAAACCCACTTGTGCACCCACCTGGAGCCAGCGCCAGGGCCCAGATACCTGAGAGAGAAGGAGAACAAAGGGGAACGGGAACCTCACGCTGCCTGCTACCCCAGAAGTCTCAGGTGTCTGCCAACATCTGTGAGACTGCAGCGGGGTAGCATGTAGCTTGCAAGTAAGGTAAAACCTCACACCCTTAGCAGTTCTTAACCTCCCTAGACCTGGGATAGGGGACAACAGGCCATGCCCTAGGGATGGGGAGCGGGGTGCTCATCGAAGAGGATCAGAGACGGTGTTGAGAGACGGTCAAGGACCCCTGGAGGGCCGCGATCACCTGCAGAACATTCATTTCCACTGGCGGGAACACTGCATGTCTGCTGTTTTCCTAGCAATGGCTCCCAGCCAGAGCGAGATCACTCCCCCAGTGGGCTTTTATTTTATCTTATTTTTAATACATTTGTATTGATTTCAGAGAGGAAGGGAGAGGGAGAGAGAGAGATAGAAACATCAATGATGAGAGAGAATCACCGATCGGCTGCCTCCTGCACGGCCCCTATTGGGGATCAAGCCGGTAACCATGTGCCTTGACGGGGAGTTGAACCGTGACCTCCTGGTTCATAGGTCAATGCTCAACCACTGAGCCACGCCGGCCGGGCCCCCAGTGGGCTTTAAGAAATGTGTAGGGAGGTGTTGGTTGTCAACATAATAGGGCAGCCGTGGGGAGACTACTAACCTAGTGTCTGGGACCAGGTGTGCTCACTGGCCACACTCGGTGAAGACCCACTACCAGCAGCATCACCATTAAGACACCCCAGGCCGTGTGGAGAGCAGGCCTTCCACCATCAGCCACCTGCCGAGTGTGAGGAATTTTCCAAAGGAGGCTGCCCCTGCCCTGAGACTTGGCAAGCGCGTAGTGGAAAGTCCCATGTGGATGCTCTTCCTTTTCAAAGGCCTTAAGTTGAGGAGCTTCCCTTTGTGGAGGTCATGACACCCCAAGCAGGGGTGGCGAGAGGAGAGGCAAAAGCAGCCACGCGTACCTGGGTGGAGCTGGACGGGGTGGGACGCTCCCTGCCACTCCACCGTGGATCTGAACAGGCTAACGATTTATGCTCATCCATGATTACTTATATATTCTAAGTGGAAAAAATATTCTCGGCATTAACTAGAACCAGCTTCCGTTACTGTGTGGACAGTAGCAGAAGAGCACACATTTATTTCAACTCAACCAGTATTTCTTGAACGCTGGCTACATGCTTGGCACTGTGCTAGGTACTGGAGATGTAAAACGGGGAAAACAGACACACACACACAGCTCATTGCAGCAGAGCATGTTCACCCAGACACGGGACCTGCTCTTGCATAAATGCTCCCCGTGGAATTCAGTATCAGTCATCATGCACAGAAACGACCTTGGAATGTACAGACTCATGTTAGCAGGACACCGATGTTTGCTTCTAGTACCAGGTTTCTCTTGCAGGAACCACAGAGGAAACGATGCAGCTCTCCATACAGACACAGGAAAGGGAGTGACTCCGAATGAGGATCTGAGAATCAGCATAACCTGCCCAAGTGGGAGGAGAGGAGAGGCTTGCTTGTCACCCACACCAGTTTCTATACCCCCCCCTTTTTTTAATTGGTTCACAAGACAGAACAGGTTTCAAGAATCACTGATCAGCTGCCTCCTGCACGCCCCCTATTGGGGATCAAGCCAGTAACCATGTGCCTTTATTTTCTTTGACAACTCAATAAAACATCATCTGCCCACGGCATGGTGCGCCCATCACTCCAAGCAGACTCTTTCTCTCTACTGCCCCCCTTTGCCCACGTCCACCTACCCCACCCCCGTCCCCCCGGCCTTCTGCCCTCCCTTCTTGAGGGGGTGTGTGTGGGAGAGGCAGAGGCAGGCTAAGATACTTGGTGCAGCACAACATCCACCCGCTGAGCACAGTGGCAGAGAGCCTCTCCCAGGGACCCCAGCAATTCTAGAATCCCATGATCCTTTGCTTCCTATTTCAACTTAATTGTGGATATTTATCACTGATCTTCCTTGGTATGAAACTAGGACTGGGAGTTCTTTCAACAGCATGTGCTGAACGTGCGAGTGTGTCTTCCCCCCAGAAAAAGACCAATTTTAAACCCAAATCCCTAGTACATATAATGAACTGAAGTAAAAATGTGCAACATCCCTTTCAAATGAAAGTCTTGATTGTTAAAAGCAATATATACACATATAAGACAAGCTGAAAGGAAACGTAATGAAGTCATTTCTCTTGATTTTATGGTGTTTTGATAACTTGCAATTATATGCGATGCTCTACATTGACATGTATGGTTATAAAGTGGAAAAAAACAGCAGAGTATGCACATAAGTCACATAGGCCCCAAAGGTCAAGCTGTTTATATGTAAATCTGGAAATACGGAATAAAACCATTACAAACTGACAAAAGTCGGGGGGAGGGGGAGTTTAACAATGACCATGATTGACTTTTTCTGATGAGCGGCTTCATCTGTGGTTTAAAAATAGCCAGATACCTGCAAGAACAAGAAAATGCTCTAATGAAACAGAAAATGAAGTCGGTACCATTAGCACAAAGACTCAAAGATCAACATCTTTCAGCAAAAACTCTTTTCGTCCTCACTTTCTAATCAGCTGCCAGGAAAGGCGAGCTTATGATGGAGTCTTCTCTGACTCAGACGCTTTTGAGTCCCATTATGTTACCATAGCACCCAGTAGGTGCTTTCTCTGGGTCCCGCCCCCAAACAGTACCTCACTCCACGCTCACACAAAAGTATGTCTTTGATATTTTCTTTGACACGTTCTGTGAGTTAGAGGGTAGCACCTGCAATTTATAGGTGGAGACTGTAAGGCTTAAAGCAAACTGCATGCACTACTGTCTTCTACTGGAGGAGGCGCTGTGTATTAACAACTGTCCTGTTTTATTTATTTATTTTTTTAAATATATTTTATTGATTTTTTACAGAGAGGAAAGGAGAGAGATAGAGAGTTAGAAACATCGATGAGAGAGAAACATCGATCAGCTGCCTCCTGCACATCTCCTACTGGGGATGTGCCCACAACCCAGGTACATGCCCTTGACCGGAATCGAACCTGGGACCCTTCAGTCCACAGGCTGACGCTCTATCCACTGAGCCAAACCGGTTTCGGCACAACTGTCCTGTTTTAGCTTCTGAGGTTTCCTTAAACCAGCGGTCGGGTCGCCAACCTTTGGGACCTCAGGGACGATCAGTGGTCCGCGGACCACTGGTTGGCGACCGCTGGCCTAGGGCCCACGTGTGAGAAACAGTTAAGGGGACGCCTCTTAACATCTTTCTGTTTATTCTATTTTATTTTCTCACGTAGGAGAGGTTTCAAGTGGATATACCACATGGTAAGTTGCATCTTCTTTTTAAAATAACATCATTATTTTTTAAAATCATCACATTTACAAGAATTGATAAGCAAAATCCTTTCACATGCACAATAAAATGCAACGGTGGCACGCTTCCTCACACTTTCATTCCTACCTGGTGGAAGAAGAGGAGGAGATTTTAATTACGATTTAGTTGCCTTTATTATAGGGAACGGAATCGTAATTATTCAGCCGAACAAAAAGCTAATAGACTAGAATCATAATGTAGCTTCCTGGAATGCACCAGACCTATTTTTTTAAATGATAGGGACTCATTTGGTAGGAATGCTACAGTAACAAGAATAATAAAATTCAAATATTAAACATAATATACTTCTAACCTTTTTCCTATGAGAAAAAAAATCATCTTTAATATTTTACTTTATTTCCTCTAGGTGAGGATGTTCAAGATCAAATATATGCTTATTACTTTCTTCTAAAAGGAACTATTTTTAAACTTTACTTTCTATTTAATCCAACTGTACACTTTCACATATTTCTTTATGATTTTCCACACAACTCAGCTATCTGACCGGGTCTGGGAAAAAAGGATACAGGCAAAGTGTGTGGTATTCCACTAGATGTAACCATCCTATTAAGAGTGATAGTCCTATCATTTTACTATATCTCTTCCCACAAAACTATACTTAAAATGTCATAACTGTCATTCCTCCTTAAAACAGACATGAAATACTGAACCACATCCAAATATTACCAGAGATGAGTAGCTTCTAAACTACTAGTAAGCACGTATTTCTGTGGGGAAATAAAATCATTTTTCAAATAACTACTTTGCAAACCTCTTCATGAGCGAGTCGTCTGTCCGGGAGGAAGGGGGCCTCTCACCTGTTCTCAGGAGAAGCCATCAGCCTGCGAGGCTGCGGGGAAAGGGGTTTCTCCGCTCTTCGAACTCGGCAAAGGCAGAGGCGATGAGCTCTGACTGCACAGAGAGGGGTCCGGGGGTCTCGTTCGTGGAGAAAGTATTTGGAAATCTTTCAAGGTCAAGACCTCTTCCCTTTAAATACGCCTGAAGGGCTCTGAAAAACTGGACAAAGAAAATGTTCTGTTGCCACATATAAATTAAACACCCAAAAGACTCAAAGGTGAATACTTCCCCCTGAATTGATTGGGGAGCTCACCTAGGAGGCAGGAGGTGGGAACTCAGGAGCAGAAGCACAAGCTTTGGCCACTTCTTCCCGCCCCGCCCCCCCGGGCCCCACCCCGGGCCCCACCCGCCTCCTCTCTGACATTTCAGCCCCACATGGTGGGAATCCCTCGAGGAACAGCAATTACTTAACAGCACCTGTCAGAGGGGCCTTGTGAGCCACCTCTGCATACCAAGGTCAGAGGTCACATTGAACCCACCGCCTGGTGCCGCCTCTCTGACTGAAAACAGGACCCCGGTCATCGTCTTCTGAAATCATTTCTGTCCGACATGGACTTTTCAGCTTTCCGTCAGGAAGTGGATAAAGGCAGAGAAGCTGTGCACAGCGCCATTTGCTTGTTTTAATCCTATGTTGTTATCTTTCACATGGGTGTGCACAGACCACTTCCACAGGCATGTGCTCTGTGTGCTCACAGAAGCAGGTGTAGATCGCTGCAGGAGCAATGGGAGGCCAGCTGCCGGGTCAGCAGAGCACTGGTCTGGGCCCCGGGGCCTCCTCCCAGCCCGGGCCCCCCTCCCAGCCCGGGCAGCCTTCTGTGTTCTGGCAGAGTTCAGCGCACGCAGATCCTGAGACACAGCCATCACACCGCAGCCCAGCACGGACGACGCGTGCTTACCAGGTCTCGGTTTCTGGGGTTGCTGAGTGGCTTCCATGTGTCTTGGTTTCTCAGTGTGGCTCCGTGCACAGGCCCGAGGAGCACCAGGGCTGCAGACAGCAGCAGGAACGCTTTGGGCATGGTGGACTGCGGCTGAGGGAGAGGAAGGATGAGGGGAAATGCAATGGTCACACTGAGGG